GACTTCTGCTTTGCTACTTTTGGTGACAGAGTGAAATTCTGGATAACCATTAACCAGCCTCAGACAATTGCATGGTCTGGATATGGACTTGGAAATATGCCACCAAATGTTGTGGACCCAGGATATAGACCATACATAGTTGCACACAACCTCATTAAAGCCCATGCCAAGGCCTACCATACATATGACGACAAATATCGCCAGTCGCAGGGTGGTCTAATCTCCATAGCCCTCAACGCTGATTGGTTTGAACCTGCTGATGTCAACGTAGTCCGTGAAGTGGTGACTGCTGACCGGGCGATGCAATTCCAACTGGGATGGTTTGCACATCCTATTTTTAAGAATGGTGACTATCCTGATGCACTGAAGTGGCAAGTTGGGAACAAAAGTGAAATCCAAAGTCTTCCACAGTCAAGACTTCCTTCCTTTACTGAAGAAGAAAAGAACTTCATCAAGGGAACTGCTGACGTATTCTGTGTAAATCATTACACTACAAGGGTAGTGAGCTATTTTACAGCTGCACTTCAGCCTCACTCCTATGAATGGGACCGAGACATGAGAGAATCAGAGGAACCCAGTTCACCAACTACAGCCATTCCTAACCAAAAAGCTGTGGCCTGGGGCTTGAGGAGACTCCTCAACTGGATCAAGGAGGAGTATGGTGATCCAGAGATTTATATTACTGAGAATGGAGCAGCAGTAGAATGGGACGACTTTGAAAGAGTAATGTTCTACAAGACCTATATCGATGAGGCTCTCAAAGGTGCAGTGATATAAAAATATTTCAGAAGATATTTAACATTTTCCACCACTGCCATGACTGGTTGTTCATTTATTTTGTATGTATGTGTTTGCATTTGTGGTTACATTACAGCCAATAACCTTGATGGTGTGCGGTTGCGAGGATACACAGCAACAGCTTTTATGGATTCTTTTGAGTGGCTGCACGGGTACAAATTTCTATTTGGGCTGCACCATGTGGACTTCACAAACCCAGATCGTCCAAGAACACCAAAGTACTCAGCTCATTACTATTACAACATCATAAAGGATAATGGTTTCCCCTTGCCAGATGATGAGAAGATGCTTTATGGTCACTTCCGAGAGGATTTCATGTGGAGTTCTGCTTCAGCATCATACCAAGTAACTTATACTTTTACTGCAATTTTACTTTTACTCAATACTGTCTTGCTTCCCTTGTTTTCATCTTTTTAAATTTTTGTTTTGCATTTACTGTGTCCAGATTGAAGGAGGATGGAGGGCAGATGGAAAAGGTCTAAGCATCTGGGACAAGTTCGCTCACAGTCCTTCCAAAATATTAAATGATGACAATGGGGACATAGCCTGTGACAGTTACAATAAAATAGAAGAGGATGTTGCGATATTAAAGCAGCTGAAAGTCAGCCATTATCGTTTCTCCTTATCCTGGCCAAGAGTCCTTCCTGATGGCACCATTAATAACATTAACGAGGCTGGAATCAAGTACTACCAAAGACTTTTGGACGCACTGCATGCTGCAAATATCCAGCCACAGGTATGAATAATTGTATTAATTTCCCTGTGTGCCAGAAAAGATACATGTAAATGTATTAGATTTAGTAAGACAGTCATTTTCCTTTCCTTTCCTTTTCCCTTCAGGTTACTCTGTACCACTGGGACCTGCCACAAGCTATAGAGGATTATGGAGGCTTTTTGAATGAGAACTTTATTAAGCTTTTCACGGACTATGCTGACCTCATGTTTGACCGTCTTGGTGACAAGGTGAAAATTTGGATCACCTTTAATGAACCAATCATGACAGCCAACCATGGATATGGCTTTGGAAGCTTTGCCCCAGGTATGGTTTAAGTCAGGAATCTCTGACGCCAGGTCTCAAGGGCCGGTGTCCTGCAGGTTTTAGATATCACTCTGGAACACACCAGAAACAAATGATTAGTTCGTTACCAGGCCTCTGGAGAACTTCAAGACATGTTGAGGAAGTCATTTATCCATTTAAATCACCTGGGTTAGATCAAGGACACATCGAAAACCTGCAGGACACGGGCTCTTGAGGCCTGGAGTTCGACACCCCTGGTTTAAGTAATGCTTTGCATCTAATACTACACTGGTATTAACCAAGTTCTATAAGTGCTACAGAGTAATATAGTGTTAAAGAAAAAATGTTAAATTGTTGTCAAGGTAAATTTCTGACTGTTTTGAAACAAGCTGTAATCTTTATAGCAGTTCTTCAAATTTCTAAACCGTAGTGAAAAAAAGCAAACAAACATGACACATTTGCTGCCTATATGCTCTGGGGTTTTTTTCTCACCAGGAATCAGTTCAGGACCAGACACTCTGCCCTACATTGTTGGTCACAACCTGATTAAAGCTCATGCCGAGGCCTGGCATCTCTACAATGACAAGTACAGGGCCAAACAGAACGGCATAATCTCCATCACTGTCAACTCTGACTGGTCTGAACCCAGAAATCCTTATAGGCAGGAGGACTATGACGCTGCAAGACGTGTGGTGGAGGTATGCCATTTCTTCTCAGATGTGACAAAAGAAAAATTGACAGCAGTTAGTTTCAAATGACTATTATGTTTCTCTCTGTGCAGTTCTACCTTGGCTGGTTTGCCCATCCCATATTTAATGGTGACTACAGTGAAATTATGAAGAAAAGAATACGTGACCGAAGTCTAGCTGCTGGTCTACCACAGTCTCGGTATTACAAAGGCTATTATTAAATCACAAAAAGCTAATTCTGTTCACAAAACATTTCTCCTACTGAAAACACTACTTCCATATGAACAGAATCAACTTTTTGGGATTTCCTTATCTGGATGATTGAGCATCCATCAAAACGCTGTTATTAAATATTTAAAATTTTGTATTCGATTTTCTAAACAACTTTATAGTAGAATAATTTAACTTTAAGTCTACTAAAATTAGTAAGTAAGTCTGGTTTTACTTCAATTTCTCCAGGTTGCCTGAGTTCACTCCAGAGGAGATTAAGAGAATTAAGGGCACTCATGACTTCTTTGGACTAAACCATTACACATCTGTGCTGGCATTCCCTGTGGACCACGGAGATGCTCAAAGCATTGAGGCAGATAAGTAAGAAGTTAACATTTGAAAAATAAATGTCTGCTGGGACTACTTCTTCTGAACAGCTTCATTTTTTTTATTCTGTACTTCTTTTAACTTTGTCCCCTGCAGGGGTGCCATGGGAGTTTCTGATCGTACCTGGCTGGATACAGGCTCCTCCTGGCTGAAGATTGCACCATTTGGTATCCGCAGATTGCTGAACTTCATTAAGAATGAATATGGAAATCCACCAATTGTAATCACTGAGAATGGAGTTTCAGAGCGGGGGACTGTTGATCTAAATGATGTTCACAGGATTTACTACTATGATCAATACATCAACGAGGTGTTGAAAGGTATCAAAGCTTCCCCTTATATGAAATCTAAAGCCACAAGTGTCCTGGAGAGGAAAATAATGTTTTGTGTGTAATATGGATGCTTAAAAATTGTTCTGCTCATTCTCTAAAAGAAAGAAGAATTTTAAGAATATGAAGGTACTTATTTTCTTTTCACAGCTTACTTGCTTGATGGTGTGGATGTGCGTGGTTACACAGCATGGTCACTTATGGACAACCTAGAGTGGACTGCTGGCTTCTCAGAGAGATTTGGTCTGTTCTACGTTAATCGCACAGACCCTAATCTTCCTCGAGTGCCTAAGAGCTCTGTTAACTTCTACACCAAAATGATTAAGTGCAACGGATTCCCCGACCCTGAATCAGGACATGAGTGCCTGAACCCATAGTCTGAAGGTAAAGTGATAAAAGATTTGCTCAGATTCCTACTTTGAATGATAGACCTTTAAATTAAATGTTCAAATAAATATCTTTTCAGCAGGTTAGTTAGTACTCTCTCATGAACCCTCTATTTCCTAAGCCATGCAACAGTTAAAATAAAGGTTGGATTTACAGTTACTATCTGCAAATGTTCACAAACAATATGACAGTATTGTTTTTACTGTCTCTCTGCACCAACAGCTGCACCACCAGTCAACATTAACAGCGTGAAATTCCTTGGTCTGGATCCCTCCACCAATGATGCTGAGACTGGACTTTACACCACATGATTGTTGCAGTAGTAGGGATGATTTGTGTTTCTGTTTTCTTCCTTAAGATGAAAAAAAAAGGTCCAAGAATAGTGAACATGGGGCAGTATCGAATGTAGTGAAAACTGTAACTGCCAATAAGATGATGTGCAGTGTAGGCCCCTGTAAACAGTATTTGATTGCAGGCCCTTAAAAATTGAACAATACTTGAACTCCTAGGCTCATCAGACATAGTATGTGTAAGATGTCTTATAACTAAAATTGTAAGTTTGTCATGATTTAGTCAGTTATTAAATCCTTGTCCATCATGTATCATTTGCTTGACCACTGCTGCAACATGAACACTCGAGAATCCAACAAGATTATTTAAAGTGTCATTTTATCCTGTATTTAAAAAATAAAAGTGATTTTTGTAATAAAAAACAATTTTCCAGTTATAGTATAGGATGCATAATAAGCCTCGTATTTGAATGTTTTTGTATATGTTTATCAAAAAATCTAATTTATCAAATAAAACACTGTAAACAATAATCCAGTGAATTATGTCATGATTGTTGTTAAATGTAAGTACCTTCTTCCTCTTCAGATTTTTTGTCTTCACTTTTTTGTACAGTGATAAGCAATTTTTAATACTGTTACCTTGAAGTGATTAAAATTAGAATGTAAATCTAAACAATATATCCATCATCCATCATGTCCTGTGCTGGTCAACAATGCCATGTGCAGCATTTAAGCTAAATAATGATCAGTGTTGTAGGTTGATTCATTTGTTAATAAAAGTCTAAAACTGTGTTTAAACATTTGTTATTTAGCTATAAATCCAGTGGCCTCTTAAATCTCTTAAACCTCTGCAGTTTTTTACTTCAGTGCATTTGACTTCAGCGGTCTTCAAAGTAGAGCAGTGTTTCACAAACAAGGAGCAGAATAAAGCACTTTAAATTGTTCTTGTTAAAGAGACCTGATGAGAGTAAGTGTCATGGTACTGTATCTGCTTAGTTGGTGACTCCTCACAAACTGGCCTGTGGCCTGTATTTGTATAGCTGAAGTCTGCCAGCCTCGACCTCCATCATTCTAAAGACCTAAAGTGTGATGAGCCTGGCCACATGACTGCCCAACACCAACCGTGAAGACCAGAGCCACTCAGCCACAGGGAAACAACAGTGGAGTTGTCGCGTCAGGTGGCCACCACTCCAGCTGCCTGCCCCCCTCCAAGAACAATGCACCCTAGTTAGCCAACTCTGTCACGTCAAAGGGCTCTATCTGCACAGCTGTATTGATGACCAGCCTTGCAATCTCTGGTAAACACAGACCTGCTGGAGGGCCTGTGTTGACACATTGAAGCCAGTCATAACCCTAGGCACAGAGAATTTGTCTCTCAAGTGTGGCTAGAGGAAGAAAAAGGACAGACAAGCCAGTCACCAGGCAGCTGCCACCACTGCTCACGTCAGCCCCAACATCCGGGTCTGATAACCCTCCTTCGACTGAAATAACCCAAGCTGTCCATGACATATGGCAACACAGCAATGCAGGTCTCACCACTGACCAGCATCACTGGTTAAGGTGCCTCCTAGACGCGTGCGCTGCCAGTGACAAAGACTGCAGACAGACAGGACTGGTCCATCACAGCTTTGACACCAGCTCTGCTCAGCCCCTCCGCCTCTCCACCAACTGCCCTTCACAAAACAGCTGCACCGACCAGGTTTCCCTAACCTTGCTCTCTTAGCGAACAGGTCAGGGGAAGCAGGTTGCACAGGTTTATGAAGTGCAGGTGAGGTGCTAGAGGTCCTACCTAAAAAGGGGAGGGCCAGTTGCCACAGGTGGAAAACCTCCCAGGCACTCCCACGAACCATGAAACTCCACTCTCATTATAAATGGAGAACGGGTGGAATCAGAAACCGACTGCTTGTTAACGAGAGCTGCTGAGGAGCATGCAGAAAAGACACCTAGGCCCTTACTCAATTCTCAAGTACGTGATTTGTACAATTGGAACACCAGCGTACTTGATGATGTCACAGGTCCAGAACTTTTACTGCCATCCCCTCTTAATTTAACTGTGATTAATATGTTATGAAATACACTGAAATAAACCAAATATTAACATTTAGAAGTGATCTAAGTGACTTATATATCATGTTTAACCTGAGTAGTGAAAGACTGCAGGGGGTTGAAAACGATGTGCCGGGAGTCCGCTGGTCTCGTTGGCTCTAGTGATCCTCGACCTCGCGGTCTGCTATGGAGCTGGTGGGTAACAGACGTCTCTGAAAACGTCAGAGCACATTTGGAAATATATGATATCTTGATAAATCGAGCAGATATTTGAAGCTTACACAGCTACATTCTCGCTTGAAAATAACATAAAAGTTTATTTTGTGACCCAGAAAGAGTAAGATTTAAAGGTTTTTAACGGCGCTCCTCCGCCATTGCCACGTTTGGGTTTTGGACAAAATGCAGTCTGTGATATTTAGCTGTACCAAGTACACACAAGTCACCACCGATGCATGCTTGATAAAACCGGCGGAGCGAGTACACATCTGGGAATTTTTCGCGTTCTCAGCTTGATGCGTACTTTGAATTGGAACAGTACTTGGTCTCCGACTGATGACGTATCACGAGTACACGAGAATGCAAGTACGTACAAGTACACATATTGAGACAGGCCCCTACTGTGTGTTAATGCCTACATCCTGTTGAGATGAGGTGGGTCACCCTGGAGACCAGATGTAGGCATCTTCACAGGTGTGAGCAAAGAAATGGTGTATGTTTGTTCCTGGATGTGTGGATTACACACAAACGAGAAATGCCTGAAAAACAGGTATTTCTCTATAATTATTTTAGTCAGAGGTCATTGGCCTAAAAGCCGGCCTTTAAAGTTGCTGGTTTGACCCAGTGACCCATTCTTGAAAATTCTGTAAGTAAAACTGTCAGGTGTGTAGTCAGGACCCCAACACAGGACTCTCGATATAGAACACAGTGTTTACAGTGTTTACAGTAAACACTGTGGACTCTGTAAACATTTTACAGTGTTTACAGTGAAGTGATAACAAGATACAGATAAATCCCTGTGTGTGCTCCTGGTGAGTGTCTATTCCCGATTCCCGTGTGGTATCTTCTCCCAGTGTCCGTGGTCCGTGTTTCCACTCTCTTGGTGGCTATATACAATGTGCTCGCTTCATCTTCTCGTTTCCGCAACTCTCCTGGAAACCACAGAGTAACTTCCATACTGGCGGTAAACTCTCAAACATACAGTTAACTGCGAAACTGAAGAATTTTATCACAATGATCCAGCGTTGACTGGAGCACAACAGCCACTCTGTTGAGTAGCTCCCAAGATGAGGCTGATCAGCAGCAGGTGTGTGTGATTATGCCTCAGGTGTCACGGTGGGAAGAACCACCCTTCAGGCCTGGATCCCAGGAAAACCAGGTCAATAGATTGAGCAAGCGGCCCCTCCCTGGGGCCAGCTCCCCCGCTGACCCCAGTAGGCACCCCCACACTCTGGAACCCACCAGGGCAAGGGGGCCCAGGCCCA